GAAGTCATGAAGGGCGAATTATCGGAACTTGAATTCGAATTGAAGAGGCTTCTAACTCCAAAACCATCAAAGCGAAAGCGAAAGGGAAAGGGAAAAACTAAGCGTCCAGAAGAACCACGCCGCTCGACCAAGAGCGAACTGGCCTATGTAAATTCTCTTGGAAATTCCTTTCTATTTTCCTCATGTTTCTGTATTGATTTTGATATTCATGGGTCTTTTGGTGAATCTCTAAGGTATAGTTTAAAATCTTTCTGAATCGTTTTGTAGGGCTTTGATTATGATATCTCTACCTCTAAAAAAGTTAAGTCTCGTTGGGGAGATAAGTATAATATCGCCCTCTATGGTAGGCTTGGACTCCACTGCTACAATTTTCAAAAGGTACAACTCAACATTTTCTATGTGTTTTCTCAAATTTTGTCTCTCCCGATTTGATCTAGAAATGTGTCAAAAGTGTTTAATCAGGAGATGTGGAGCTCAATGTATTCTTAAGAAAGATTTGTTTTTCTTCTGATGTTCAGGGAACAAACTATAGGTTTGTGCGCTGGCAAAAGTACAGCACTGCCTTGACTGCAGACGTCGACTACTACATAACTTTGGAGGCTATGGATCCTGCCCGTCCTAAAACAGTCTTCGGTCATTGTGACTCAGTCTTCTCTTTTCAGACAATGCTCAGCGATGCTGGACGTACAGACGGTATCTATATTACGTGGACGACCTTAGCCGCCAGAGGCAAATGTAAGAATGTATATTACAATTATTGCCTTGTCTTTACCGTATCATAACACTGTCAATAGAGGACTAACAGTTTATAGAGATCACTTTTAAAGGTAAAGAGGCTCTGGATGATGAATTTGACGAGGATACAATAGATGATTTCTACAAAAGTGGAGTGCTCAAATGGTTGTCTGATGAGGCCATGGCCGGTGACAATAAAAAGTACTACGTGGTAAGATCATCTCCAGTGGAGTTTAATTTTTGTTTTAGCTTGATGAGAAGAAGGCAACCTGTTGGTAAATGCATTTTTGTTGATCATCATTCATTACAGGTGCAAGAATCAGAGTTGCGTGAGAATGACTGGCTGCAGCTTTTCATGGAAATCGGATTCTTCTCGAAAGCAAAGCGTGTAAGTCTTTGAATTTGCAATATTTCTCTGCCAGGAAAAGAAAGCAAGTGAGGTTCTTCCGACTTGTTGCTTCTTTCTTTCGTCTTACGCTTGCCAATGTAATTGCAGCGTTTGGGGGCTTCCCCACCCTTGGAGATCAAGAAGGTAGTCATAGAAACTAATGAAGAATACATAACAGAGGCGCGCGAGAAGCTCAAGGCAAAGAATGCAATCTACTACATAAGTTACAAGTATATTGGTGATCCTTCATCGGTTTGGGCGGGTGATCACAAATCAATATTAAGGAAAACCATGGATGGTAAACCAGGGCACATGTGTCTTGAAGTTGCAGATGACGAAGAATAAACAGACATATGGACCTGGTCTGTTATAATTATAAGTTTTGAAACTTTTTATCATGTTATTATATCTATTCACAATGTTATGTTTGGCTTGTTTTAATTATGTTTACAACTCTATGGACGAGAACGACAGTGTGAATAATGGTGTGTTTGTTGATGGTGCTTGCTATATATTTTGAAGTAATACAAGCCAGATCTAAGGTGGCTTTCATAAAACATTTTGACTGCTCTAACTATTCATGGAAATCTCATTTTTCTGTAAAGCAAAGTGTGCAAGTGCAATAATTTTCTGCCTGGAAAATAAAGCAAGGGCAAGTATTTAGTTTGAAGCAGCTAAGAATACTAAAATAAAGCAAGGGCAATGCCATTACCACTCTAACCCCACCGTTATCCAGCTTGGATGAATAGATCTCTTTGTTGTTCACTTGACAGATCTCTTTATGTCTCCAAAGATACAGCAAACTTGCAGCAAATCTGCTCTCATGTATAAAGATCACGATCCACCAAGAATACTTTTAAACACTCCCATGATAAGTATCTTGAGAGGCCTCTAATTTTACCTTATAGTTCTTGTGTCTAGGAATTTAGTTTCAACAGCACCTTCACGCTTGTTCTCATCCAGGAACTCTTCTCCTGTTTTTACAAGCTCTTGACATGAAGCCTTTATATTTTACCTTGCTTCCTTTAATGTTGTCGACAAACTCAACACACCTGAGCTTCTTGATTCACATTAATACAAGCCTTTTCCACTTGAGAATGATTCTTCACACAGATTTCTCCTTCTTGTTTCATACTCATTTGCAACTTCCTTTCTTTTATGCAGAAATCACTCCTTATTCCTCTTGTTCTCTCTTCTAGATCTTGTCTGTGTGATTTCTGTTGAATATCATCTTTTCACACCCTGAATCACACCCAAACAATGACTGATTTATTCTCGTCCATCATGGTGATCTTTAACAGACCTTGATCACCATAAAAACAAATGAGACTACAGCGGAAACAAACACAAAAACCTCAAGCTCAGTTAGGTCCAAACCTCTAGACTTGCTCATTATCAAGAAACCACTCGCCGGTTGTTTCAACAAACTCATTCCAATTCAAAATTCCAATGAAGGATTTAAAACCATAGACTGCAGACTATACCCCGATTGCTGCTTGAGATGCTTCGAACCTACAATCCTGTCAAAACTTTTATGAACCTGAGCTTTATCACTGTGACTGTTCTTTCGACCAATACTCTCATGCGAGATTTTTGAATTGCCTTAAGAACTTGAACTTGTCATGTCCATAGGATTATCCGATGAAACATACTCCAAGTTTGATTAATGGACTGTTGTTCTTCATCAGTTTTATTTTGTTGGATCATAGTGCGTAAATTAACTGAGCAGCTGTAAATGATGAATGTTATTAATTTTATTAAGAGAGTATTACACATATTTATACATACAGATGTTAGAGACTAGAAAGAGATTAGGGTATGACTAATTACAATTAAGACCTAAGCATATAATTTACATATACATCTCCT